GTGGGAGCTCTCAAGCGGTGTGTCAGTCGGGTCCTGCTGAGACTCCCAGTGATGGTCAGTCATTTCGGGAAAAGGGGAGGTGATTCAGCCTTGAAAAGGAAGAAATAAACAGAAAACGCCTGCTTTTCAGGAGCTGTCCAAAAACCTGCTTTTTAGGAACTGTCAAGATGACTGTTATCATTTAGAAATCTTTACAGATTTCCCTCATGATGGAGTCTAGACATTTTGCAGACGTCGTGCGGTGTCCAGGCTGCTTTCTGTCTCACAGAGAAGTGGTGAGATGGAGGAAAGTGATCAGAATGAAGATTAACTATCACACTGAGGGTCTGAAAATGTCACACCGGACACTTCCTGTGCTGTGATTAGTATACAAATGCGTCTGTACCTATAATGCACACATTGCACACCCGTGTGTCAGTGCTTTTAATGGCCTGTCTTCTGGTCTGTGTTGTTTAATACCTTTTCATTCCCTCTTTTCAGGAGCGAGGGCTTTGAAGGCAGTTTCTGGGTTTACCCTCCAGTTCTTCTGCTTGCAAGTTCACGGTATTTCATGATTAAATCTCTGATCCTGGGACTGTCCATCTGTAGACTGGGATATTAACTAACATCATCTAAATACCTAGATTGTTATGAGTTTTAAATAAGCCCCAAAAGAGGAGTTCAGTGCTTCACACACACACAGCATCACCATATAACGGCGTTGTTGTGCGTGACTCACGTAAGGCAAAGGGATAGCCCTGAAAAGTAAACTTTTTTATTACCTATTTATAAATTTAATTTCTCTACACTCACCTTTATAGGTGATGGTTTAAAAGGATCTGGTTTTATTTGTCTCCATATAGTGAGTTAATTTTTCTAACACTATATCTAGATAATCTGCTCTTCCTCTTAAATAGATTTTTATGCTACCTTTTCTGGTCTGTCTCTTCAATTTTCTATTCACTTCCTTTGGTCAATTTACCTGTTCTTACAATAATATCAAATTTTTTTCAACATAAGTTTGAAGTCTATCTTAATAACTAAATGTGAAAAGATACCCCAATTATTTTTATAAAAAGTTTACTTAATTACTCATATGCCAATGAGAATTTTTATTGGAATTATAATGAATTTTCATATTAGTTAAATTCAAATTGATATCTTTAGTATATTAACAAATACAGTTTAAGAGCATGGAAATCTCTCAAAGCATTCCCCCAAAATGATTTTTTTATTCTTGGTTATTTCAGCGTTTGTTGCTATTATAGGTAGCATCTTTCTTTAAATCTTATTTTCTAGTTGAGTGTTGCTGGTATATGGCAATAGTATTTTTGTAGGTTGATATAGCATCTAGCAAACTTGTTGATTATGGTGTAATTTCTAGATAGATGACCATATCATTTGAAAATAATAAAAATATTATCTCTTCCCTTACAAGATTACTTAATATATATTTTTCTTTTGTTATAGTTTTGATCAGGAACTCTCCACTTTGATGCTGAACAATAGCAATGACATTCATCATTTTTTCTTGTTCCCAGTGTTAAATGGAATGCACATAGTTTCTCCAGTAACTACAATGTGTGCTGTAGATATCTAGTATAATGTCATTTCCAAATTAGTGACCTCTCCTCTGTTCTTTTTTGTAGCTATAGGAATTGAATTTGGTAAAATATTTTTGCCTCATCATTTTTTAGTCCATTTTTGTGATAAATTTGGCCAATGCATTTTCCAATTTTAAAGTATCCTTGCAGTCCTGATATCAACTTTATTTGATTATATGATATCTTAATTGTATTTTTGAAATTGGTGAGTGAATATTTTGTTAGGATTTTTGAATTTCATTATGTACTATTATTGTCATCTGCTTGGGGAACCAATCCCAGAATCATTTCCATTCTCTGCCACCCCTCGGGTTACTCTTTAGGGAGAACAGCTTTGGGAGGAAGCAGTCTCACTAGTTTCTACTCGCATAACCCTAGGCAGGGGGAAAGAGTAGAGGCATGACTAATAACAGTGTAGGGGAGTCCACATGTCTTTATTTTCATTAGTGCTTCACACTTGATGGAGGTTTTTTTATTTATATAATATATCTTTATTGATTTCAGAAAGAGGAAAGAAGAGGGAGAGAGAGAGATAGAAACATCAATGATGAGAGAGTCACTGATCGAGCCCGCAACCCGGGCACGTGCCCTGACAGGGAATCCAACCCCGATCGCTTGGATCCTGGGCCGACACTCAACCCCTGAGCCATGTGCAGCCGGGCTTGATGGAGGTTCTTATGTTTCCATGATGCTGTCTTGCAAACATATGGCACCAGAATAGGTGGTTTGCTCTATTGCTGCAGAATTTTGCAATATAGGTGAAGCAATGATTGTCGTGAGGTAAAAGCAAAAACTAAAATTTATTACTGAAACTGCATGATCAGGCAAGACACTGCCCCAGGATGCAACACTGCCTTCACTTCACACTCACTACACACACACACACACACGCCCATACATACATACTGGGGATCATGAGAGACTTAACTCCCTTCAGATTTTCTGTCTTCTTGATACTGTCTCGGAAGCCACACTTCTCTTTTGCTTCTCTCATTCCTTCAGAGTTCATATTGGGGTGATAGCCAGAAGCCTGCCTGTTTTCACATTCTGACTGCAAAAGAAGACTAAAAGCTTACTTTAAAAAAATTTTTTTAAATTAATCTTTATTGTTGGAAGTATTACAGATGTCCCCTTGATTTCCCCCCATTGACCCCCTCTACCCTGCACACCCCACCCTCAGGCCTCCACTACACTATTGTCTGTGTCCATGGGTTATGCATATACACATATAAATTCTTTGGTTAATCTCTTCCCATCCCCTTTACCCCCTTTTTTTAAATGGACCCTTTTATGAATTCTCCTCTTAGAACTAAGCAAATTCTCCCTAGTTTATAATTTCAAATTTCTTATATCCACAAAATGAACTTTTAAGGCAAGTTATGCTGGCATAATTTTTGTAAATATGTTTTTATCAATTAATAAACAGTGATATGTCATTAGAGAAAAAAATTACTTTCTTTTTCTAGTGAGTGCTTGAAAGGTAGTGGTGGTCCTAACACCAAGGCGAGGAAGGAACAGTATGTTACAGTTTAATTGTATCATTTACATTTATGCCTCAGAAAGACGGGACTTAGTCTCTGCTGTCTGTAATGATATAGTAGTAAACCATCAACACTTGGAACTGCACACCTTTGAAATCTCCGGATTTGGCTTTTCTCTAATCACACAAGAGAAATTCCTAATCTCTTTTTTAAAAAAGGAGAATTACAAACAGCAGAGTGGAAAACCATATAAAAGGTGAGGCTTGGTGACTTGCACGTAGCAAAATAACTCTTAAGGGAAATGATTTGAAAAGAATCTAATGTCTCTCAGTAATTAGCAGAAGAAATGTGTAACTACACACATTTGGAAATTGTCTACATGCAAGGAGAGGACAGGAAGAGGCAGTTAATTACCTAATTCTTTCTAATGCTTTCTGTGGGGCTCTACTCATCAAAGTAGACTCAACTGTATTCTCTCAGCACCTGGGGAAGAGGAGGGGCATGGAGCTAAATGCTTTGGTCTTCCACTGATGCTAGATCTCAGTCCTACTTTCCTCATCTCTAATGTACAGTTTAGTGGGACATGGATATTGAGGTTAAAAGAATTCCTGGGTTCTGTCTCAGCTATATACTAACTAGTGATGAGGCTGTCAGGAGATCACTTAATACCTCTATGCCTCTGTTCTTCTCTTACTTGGACATCATAATGCCTGACCTATTAGCTACCAGGTTGTTAAAAAGTAACTAAGATAATAAATTGGGCAGAGTCAGAGGCACTTTTCCAAGACTTAACAATCTCTTCGGAATAAAGATCTTTTCTTTTTCTAATTACTATAATGTAGACTCATTTTAGAAAACGAAGAAAAGAATGTCTCATCACAAGAAGATAAACTCGGTCTCTTGTATTTCTGTTCCATCTCATATGTCCTTTTGTCTGAGCTTGAGTTTTGAGGGAGAGGGCGATGAGGTCCTGTTGTGGTTGCTCCAGGAGAATCATAATGCATTTTCCTTGTTACAAAGCCATTATAAACATAATTCTACATCTAATATACTCTAATAAGAGGGTGTATTTTAATTTATTTAGACATTTTATCTTCCTGTTATTGAGCATGTAATTGTCTTACCCTTATAAATATTAATGTGATTAAAAAAATGTATGCCTGAAGTTTTTCCAGTATATATTATTTCTTCAGGATTCCAAGTTGAATTAGTGAGGCAGAGGATATGAACATATGAAAAGTATTAATACAGATTCGGTTGCTAGTCTCCTAAAAATGATTTTCTGTTTTTAGATCCAATAGGAGAGTATTACTTTTTTTGGAATTTGAGACTTTGTAATAAAAAGAAAGGTTTGAGTGGGAATGAATGACAACATATGGACAGAGCTGCAGAGAGTGATAGAAAGTTTTTTTTTTTTTAATCACTTTTTCTTAGTGGATTTACCTAAGGTTCTAGGAATGTCAAGTCTATGAGTGAGGAGGGAGAAATGGCACATGCTAAGTGGTAAACTGAAGAGCTGTTAATAAGGGGATATTTCTAAAAGATAAGCAGGGTCAAGGAAACGAGCAAGGACTAGTGCAATAGTACACTCGTATTGGGAGCTATTATTAGCCCTAAATGGGCAATGTGAAGAAGCCATTCCTAGAACCTGCAAAGAGCTGCTACATAGACAAAACTGTGGAACTGGGGTGGAACTGGGTAGTGTAATCTTAACATTTCCAGGGCTACTACTTCAAGAGCTTCAGTCAATACTTCTGTTTGTTCTTTGTCGTCTTCATTAGAAGCTTATTTCTGGGGCTGAATCCATCATCCTTCTACTGCACTCCATATGCTATGTTACAATAAATTCGGGATAACTGATTACTTGTTTCACTCCCCCCTCCCCGCTGCGTTCCTCAGAAGTTCCCACTCAGGCCTTTGTTGGCTTTGTTTTGTTTTCCCAGCCATGGCGTTACTCCCGGTGTTGCTGTTCCTGGTCCCTGTGTTGCTTCCCTTCTTTCCTGCAGATGGAAAGGTATGGTCATGGCTGAAAATATTTTCAGATCAATTCAAGCAACCTTGAAGGACAGCAAGTGACTAGGTCAGTTTTTGGAAGTAAACAAGACTAGATAGTCTGGTGCATCGTAAAGTATGGTAGAACCTAAACACAAGAAGGTATTGAACCCAGGAAATATGGGTAGTCAGAGCCGAGATCTGCATAAATAAATACATAGACTTCAAAGACTTCAAAGACTTAGTTAAAAAAGGGAGGTTAAATATCTCATTAATAATTTTAATATGGATTGCATGATGGAAGCATACATTTTGAATATATTTTTTAAATGTATTACAAATATTAATTTAATCTGTTTGTTTTTTTGTAAAGTAGCCACCAAAGAAATTAAAATTACATGTGATGCTTTAATTATTTTCCTGTTGACAGCACTGGTCTATGGGTTTAAAAGCTAACTGAACTCCTCTTATCTCAAGATCTTTTCTGACTTGCTTTTATTTAATCTATTTCAATGTGATCCCCATCACAAAATAACAATATATTTACATAATCTCAAATTAGCATAACTCCTTCACATGCGTCACCATATTTAACTTTCGTAGTTACTGTGTGAGAATAATTATGCCTATTTTTTAATTAAAAAAATTTTACTAGAAATACTAAGCTTTTGGATTTTTTTCATAACTTTTACAATTTTGTGTAAGATGCTCTAATTATTTCTAATATGCTGCTTCACTTTAATAATCCCAAGAGCAGTGTCAGTTATCGCCTTCAATTGGTGTGTAGGTGCTCACGTAAGAAGTCTATTTCCCGATCAGAAAACGTCCAAATGTGAGGAGCTCTGGTCCTCACTGTCTGTTCTCACGCCCTTCTTTAGCTTTGGGTATACAAGATTAGCTAGGACCCCTGAGACCAGAGGATTCTGACACTGGGTCAGACCTCACTTGGCATTCAGAGATGCACTCATTTTTTAAAATTTTTAAAAAAATAAATATCTTTATTGATTTCAGAGAGAGGAAAGGAGAGGGAGAGAGAGAGGCAGAAACATCAATGATGAGGAGTCATTGATCGAGCCTGCAACCCGGGCATGTGCCCTGACCGGGAATCGAACCCCGATAGCCTGGATCCTAGGTCGACGCTCAACCACTGAGCCATGCCCAGCTGGGCAAGAGGTGCACTCATTACTAATCAGAGTTTCAATCTGGAGACAATATATTCATCACTCAGGCCTTCATTCAAGTAGTTCACTATCTTCCCAATTTCTTTCCTAAAGATTTCCTTTCATGGCCCTTTTTGATCCCTTGTTACCTCTCACATCCATCTCCTAGTTTTCATTTATAAAATTATTTAAAAGGGCGATACCATTCCATCTTTGTCACCGCTCCCTGTTTGCTGATCCAATGCTCTACATTCCCTCTGTCCAACGGGGTTTTCTGTGCCTCCTCAAGATGCCTCAAAAACATTATTCACCTCTCAAAACCCCAATCCAGGCCACCTTCCATGAAGCCTCTCCTAACCCCAATCAGGAAAACTTGATCCCTCCTTCCTCTATATCTAATAGATCTCACCTATCATTTCATTTATCACATGATATTATGATTATTTATGTCATATTGCCTATTCAGTATAAATTCTTTAAGGATAGACAGATACCATATTTTGTCCATTCTGTTCTCAACACTTTTCATATGTCTCATTACTTTTCATATTCTCAAATAAAACTTTATTCGTACTTATTAAAAAAGAAACAAAGGCATGTCTTTTTCAGTAGAATTTTTATCTACAAAATGAGAAATAATTACTTAAAAGCAGGAAATAATTACTCCTTTCTCAGGGATGATCACATTTTGATAAGCTTTGAAATGAAACAATTTTAAGCAGGTTTTTGAGGGTTAATAGGACATGTTCAGGGATGCTATTTTACGCTCTGATAGGCCCCTGCTAATATTCACATTCACACGTGCAACCTTTTCAACTTCGGAATCGGGGGCTGGGAACGTGCGCGACCTGTGGGTCCAGTGGCATTCATTCTTGGTCCCTCCCTGTCCTTAGGAGCATACAAGCAGGGGGGGGAAATGGATGCATACGTAGGTAGGGGTCATATGAACATGGTCAGACCTATGTTCACAATATTTGGAGAGCTTTGAAAACGCTCAGTATTTGTAGGAGGAGAGAATAACTTATTCCAGGGTGTCAGGGAAAATCAATCAATGCCTCTGTCTGCTTAGATTTATACTCCAAAATCTTGCTAGTGCTCATGTAACATCACACTCCTGTGTAAATGCAGGCCATCGGATTGAGTAAACCTTATGGAACAATCAGTCATACACCCTACTCTGCCTCTATGCTTAGAACCCCCCAAGATATACCAAAAATGTGAACATCTGGTTTAATAACTTAACTATATTTGTGTTACTGAAATGAACAAAGTCAGCAATAGCCCATTAATTGGATGGCTTTGCTTCCTCCAAATTGCCTTGGAGATTTGTTTAATATTATAAACCTCTCTTGCGAGTAATTCCATAATTTCTGCTGCATAACTGGTAGGATCATTGACTAGAGTATTGAATGCACTTGAACTGGGCCTAAACATTCTTTCTTTGAACACAGGTACCATGTGAGGTCAAAGTCCCCGTTTAAGCCTAGACGAGCCACCGTCCCTACTCTTACCATTCCCTTGCTGCAGCCTGACTGTAATGAGAAGGTCTTAATGGTTCCCAGCTTACAACTTTGTCAGTATGCTATCATTCATATGAAAAATCACATTGCGACATCTCTTAATACTAGAAAGTGGTACTTGTAGCCTCAGATGTGCTTTCAATTGTCATGACATGAATAACACCCACACTCTCAAAATTTAACACTATTTCTTTCCTTTTTAAAAGTCATAGCTTTGGTTCAGATTCATTGGCAATGTTTAACAATTAGTATTGGTTTGAACTGAATACTTTTTAAATAACCTTTGTTCTCTTGAATTAACTTACTCATATGCAATTTTTCAAACTTTTAAAAAATAATTCTGATTTGGCTTTCCTTTAGAACCCAGGTTTTGGTGATTTGTCAACCACCCTAACAGAAGCACAGAGAGAGATTGTAAACAAACACAATGATCTAAGGAGAACAGTCACTCCACCTGCCAAAAACATGCTGAAGATGGTAAGAGGCTGTACCATAAGGAAAGTGACTGGAGTCGGCTGTGATAGGCACAGGCTCCTAGTAAAAAAGACCTCTTAAGATCTTTGTGACTTACGCAGTTCTTGTTATTTCATTAGAGCTTTGTTATGGACAAGGCAGAAATACTTTTTCTCATTCCATATACTATTCTTGCTTATGAATTGTGTATCATCCTACCACCATATGTTCTACTCACTAGAATAATATAATCTATCAGAATTGATTTGCTATCATGTCCATCTCAGAGTTTCCCATCTTTGTGAGTGGAATTTGTCTTCCCAGAAAAAAAATGCATGTATATACAATTTTAGGGTACCCATGGAGCCCCTGAAACCCATTCATGAACCCTGGCCCTGAGGTTAGTGTGTGCCTTCTGACCTTGATAAATTGACCTTCAGATACTTTCACCAGGCCTTTTCTGTTCATTTTGATCCAAAACAATTTTCCAATAAGTTTTCTGGCTGTAGGTGGCACTTCTGTCTAGTTCCTCTCCATACAGTCTGACGAGGGCCATATGAACATGGTCAGACCTATGTTCACAATATTTGGAGAGCTTTGAAAACGCTCAGTGTTTGTAGGAGGAGAGAATAACTTATTCCAGGGTGTCAGGGAAAATCAATCAATGCCTCTGTCTGCTTAGATTTATACTCCAAAATCTTGCCAGTGCTCATGTAACATCACACTCCTGTGTAAATGCAGGCCATCGGATTGAGTAAACCTTATGGAACAATCAGTCATACACCCTACTCTGCCTCTATGCTTAGAACCCCCCAAGATATACCAAAAATGTGAACATCTGGTTTAATAACTTAACTATATTTGTGTTACTGAAATGAACAAAGTCAGCAATAGCCCATTAATTGGATGGCTTTGCTTCCTCCAAATTGCCTTGGAGATTTGTTTAATATTATAAACCTCTCTTGCGAGTAATTCCATAATTTCTGCTGCATAACTGGTAGGATCATTGACTAGAGTATTGAATGCACTTGAACTGGGCCTAAACATTCTTTCTTTGAACACAGGTACCATGTGAGGTCAAAGTCCCCGTTTAAGCCTAGACGAGCCACCGTCCCTACTCTTACCATTCCCTTGCTGCAGCCTGACTGTAATGAGAAGGTCTTAATGGTTCCCAGCTTACAACTTTGTCAGTATGCTATCATTCATATGAAAAATCACATTGCGACATCTCTTAATACTAGAAAGTGGTACTTGTAGCCTCAGATGTGCTTTCAATTGTCATGACATGAATAACACCCACACTCTCAAAATTTAACACTATTTCTTTCCTTTTTAAAAGTCATAGCTTTGGTTCAGATTCATTGGCAATGTTTAACAATTAGTATTGGTTTGAACTGAATACTTTTTAAATAACCTTTGTTCTCTTGAATTAACTTACTCATATGCAATTTTTCAAACTTTTAAAAAATAATTCTGATTTGGCTTTCCTTTAGAACCCAGGTTTTGGTGATTTGTCAACCACCCTAACAGAAGCACAGAGAGAGATTGTAAACAAACACAATGATCTAAGGAGAACAGTCACTCCACCTGCCAAAAACATGCTGAAGATGGTAAGAGGCTGTACCATAAGGAAAGTGACTGGAGTCGGCTGTGATAGGCACAGGCTCCTAGTAAAAAAGACCTCTTAAGATCTTTGTGACTTACGCAGTTCTTGTTATTTCATTAGAGCTTTGTTATGGACAAGGCAGAAATACTTTTTCTCATTCCATATACTATTCTTGCTTATGAATTGTGTATCATCCTACCACCATATGTTCTACTCACTAGAATAATATAATCTATCAGAATTGATTTGCTATCATGTCCATCACAGAGTTTCCCATCTTTGTGAGTGGAATTTGTCTTCCCAGAAAAAAAATGCATGTATATACAATTTTAGGGTACCCATGGAGCCCCTGAAACCCATTCATGAACCCTGGCCCTGAGGTTAGTGTGTGCCTTCTGACCTTGATAAATTGACCTTCAGATACTTTCACCAGGCCTTTTCTGTTCATTTTGATCCAAAACAATTTTCCAATAAGTTTTCTGGCTGTAGGTGGCACTTCTGTCTAGTTCCTCTCCATACAGTCTGACGAGGGCCATATGAACATGGTCAGACCTATGTTCACAATATTTGGAGAGCTTTGAAAACGCTCAGTGTTTGTAGGAGGAGAGAATAACTTATTCCAGGGTGTCAGGGAAAATCAATCAATGCCTCTGTCTGCTTAGATTTATACTCCAAAATCTTGCCAGTGCTCATGTAACATCACACTCCTGTGTAAATGCAGGCCATCGGATTGAGTAAACCTTATGGAACAATCAGTCATACACCCTACTCTGCCTCTATGCTTAGAACCCCCCAAGATATACCAAAAATGTGAACATCTGGTTTAATAACTTAACTATATTTGTGTTACTGAAATGAACAAAGTCAGCAATAGCCCATTAATTGGATGGCTTTGCTTCCTCCAAATTGCCTTGGAGATTTGTTTAATATTATAAACCTCTCTTGCGAGTAATTCCATAATTTCTGNCATGCAATCATCATTGTCATCATCTGTATTATTAATGTCCACCCCACCCACCTAGGTTTCACTTTACACCCGAAATCTTTCCTTAGAGACACGCTGTTGGTCGGGGAAGTTTCAGTTTTGCTGACTGAAGCTTAAAGGAACCCTCTTTAAGGAAGAGAGTATGAAACTATCTTACTACAGCAAATTAAAAAAAAAAAAATCACCATGCAGATTCCGAGGTCACCGAGCACAACCTTAGAAGGGGCTATGCAAATGAGGGGCCCAAAACTTAACCTGCATTAGCTCCATGGGACAAGGCAGAGGTTCTTAATTGTACTTTATAATGGTTTAATAACTTGTTCATTTTATGGGGCTATTTAAGTTGTGGAGGCAGAATTAAAACCAAATCTTTGGACATCCAATAAGGGACCATTATGTTTTTCTGATTACCATCTCTCCTAATCTAGAATCAGGAAGGCCTTTTCCCTTTAGGATCAATAAGGGTAAATAATAGAACATTCTGGGCCCAGTCCTAAAAATCAAATGTCTCCCAAACGTATTCAGTGGGGTGAAAAACAAAAGAAACTAGGAATGAAGTATGCTGGCTCAGAATTATAGGAAAAATCATCTCACTACAGCTACGTGTTTATTGATATTTAGAGTAGGACCACGGCTAAAAGCCTTTAGGTGTTCCTGCTGTGCTATCACCCATAGACTGTTAACTTTCTCAGGTTTTACAGTTACTTAGGGTAGCCATACCATAACTCTTTATGGACCAGAAAAGGGCACATCAAAAAATATGTCTTTGGTTATAGGGATAATCAGAATATGCATGTACAGAAAAAATTATAATGGTGTGAATCAGCCTATCAATCTCATGATTAAGCTTGCGCACCTTTGCGGTTTGAGTCATTAAGTGCATACCTTTTTCTCCCTCTTTGTTTTAGAAATGGGACAACAAGACAGCAGAAAATGCCCAAAAGTGGGCAGACAAGTGCCTTCAAGAACACAGCACATTAGAGGATCGAGTAATCAGTATGTAAATCAATAAATGTTTATTGAGTAGATGAAAAAGCAAGATAATAAGGGGCCTTTAAAAAATATATACATATTGATTTCAGAGAGAGGAAGGGAGAGGGAGAGAGAGATAGAAACATCAGTGATGGGAGAGTCATTGATCAGCTGCCTCCTGCACGCCCCCGACTGGGGATGGAGCCCGCAACCCGGGCATGTGCCCTGACCGGGAATCGAACCTCGATCTCCTGGATCACAAGTCGATGCTTAACCGCTGAGCCACACCAGGCTGGGTGATAAGGAACCATTTTTGATATTACATTAAGAAAACTTTGTGAGAAATGTTGCTTCTAATGCTGCCTTTTTCAAGTTCAAGTATGTTTGTTTGAGAGAAAGCTCTGAGAAGCACCACCTTGTGCTTATTGTTTCATCTTTTACAAACACTGTCCCACACAATATAACATTTGTACCTCTTAACCATCTCAAGAGTAAAGCCAGGCCATATGTCATCTCTTTCTCTATTTTAAAGAGCAGGGGGCTCACTGTCAGCAGGGAAATAATTGCTAGTAAGTGTTATATCTGGGAAATTTAAAATTAGAATTTCAGACTTCTAACCCAGCGCCTTTTTCATAGTATGGAGCTTGTTTGTGTTTTAAAAACTATTGATTTTTGAATTTATAAAATATGTTGAATTTTGACAAATCATTTCTGAATTTTACTCAAAAATATTTAACATTAGTATCTTTTTAATTTTTGATGACAGTAAGTCAAATCTTTTGTATGTTCTGGGTGCCTCTTCCAAGGCATGCAATATTATATTAGACTCAAAAGTAGCCTCGAAGACATGACCTCTACATCAAGGAACCTAAAAACAATTAGATATCATATGTATTAACAATAAACAAAATATTTACTTAAATTATCAAGTGACAGATATAGGCAAGCCCAATGTGAAAGCAGGAAATAACCCACCTGTTTTGAAAGTAGGACTGCCATTGTTATTTGTATTTTTGATACTGTAATTTAATGAAATTATGAAGAGGAGTGATTATATTCAGTAGAAGATTGGAACAAATGGTTTTGAAAATCCCCGTTTGCTGTTAAAATCTCAGCATCTTTTTTCCCCCCTCTATTCAAAAGTAGTTTACACTCCCTTTAAGTAGCATATAGATGTTACATTTCAAGTCATCCAAACATAAATCTTAATTTCAAGGTTTGAAAAATACGTTGCAATGTTTGTGGGCTGCAAAGCACTTTTACCCTAATTCTTTGAGGAGAAGTTGGCCTGTGGCATTATGATTTGCTCATTCAGGGGAGACCCATAAACCTGGAAAATATTGTCCCTCCTAGTGTAATCTGCTTCATGCTTGGGGCTCTTGAAGACTGAGAGTAAGCTCGTTTTCAAAGTTTAAACAGAATAACAACCTATATATGAAAAGTTTCTGGTAAGTGTAGGTGAGAGTAGGAGAAAAATTATCAGTTGCTTTCTGCTTTTAAGCAAGCTAACAATATACAACTGAGCACAGATTCATGAAGAAATTATTATGTAAATGGCTCTAGGGGAGTAGATATTAAAGAAAGAGGACTTCATCTACTCAAAATTTTGCATGTTGAGACCAGCCTCAATGTGTTTGGCATATCTGGCTTCTATTCAGCTTACAGCTGATAAGGGGCTCTCTATGTATTAATGAACAGTTAGCAACTATGGGCACTGAGTTTGAAGAGCAAGGACTTGATAGATAGATGAGATAGATAGATGATAGATGATAGATAGGTGATGATAGATAGATAGATGATAAACACGTCTCTCTCTCTTTCCCTCTCCCTCTCTCTCTCTGTCTCTCTCTCTCTCCATATCAACTATTGCATGCTTTATTGCTTTTCCAATGAATGATCTGTTTCTTTTTAGATAAAAGGAATTGTGGTGAGAACCTCTATATGTCAAGTGATCCTACTTCATGGTCACATGCAATCCAAACCTGGTTCGATGAGATCAAGGATTTTGACTATGGTATAGGACCAAAATATAAGGATGCAGTGGTTGGACATTATACCCAGGTAAGGGAAACAAATGAAAAAGACATCTTTGCCATAAATGCCCTAAAGGGAGAGCTTATCCAAATTTTGAACGATTCCAATGTTGAATCTGGGGGAAGATCTGAAGCAGGTAAAGAACAGTCTTCTCATTTTGTGGGCATTTCAGGTGTGAGCTGTCATTTGTCAAAAGCCTGCAGGCTCTTAATAAGGAAACATACTTTGTATTTTTTGAATAGTCTAAATGGATAAAGTAGTGAATATACATGAAAATGTAACAGCTTTAAAGATTTTTACTTTAATTTGATAATTTAAGTATTTCCATAAGGTATATAAAATCATACATTGGTAACATTCTTTTCCGTTTTTTATTTCCTGTTGTCTGTTTTTGGATATTTCCTTTTTTAATGTGCTCTCCTATTTTCACTTATGGGCATGTAGGTTGTTTGGTACTCATCTTATACTGTTGGATGTGGAGTTGCCTATTGTCCCGAACAACCATCTCTAAAATACTACTATGTTTGCCAATATTGTCCTGCGTAAGTACATGCTTTCAAATTTGCTGTCAATGATGCCATTAGCAATTTACTATTTTAAAAATTATCATGTAATAGACAACTCAGATTGAAAAAGCATATTTCAGTGAAGGGGAGAGATAAATCTTGAGAAATATTTTTTAAATTCAAGGCACAATCAACTTCTTAGAAAGAAGAGTAACTTCTCAGTTTCAAGTATAATATTCTGAAGCTGTCTTCCATCATGATTAAAATGATTTGTCTTCCCTTTCCATTGCTTTTCCCAAGGCTCAGGGTTATTCCACGGGTATGCATTGTGTGTAGTTCTCTAGACGTGGTACTGTCAGTATTTATTAAATTCACGTTCTAGAAAGTGAAAGCTTGATGATATGGCCAGGGGTGAATGTGAAGTAGCAGATGTTAATGACAGTTTAGTGATTCCAGCCCTTTGTCCTGCTTATGTAAAAATACCTGGTATACCATTAAGAATTTATTAAATCTTGGGCCTCAAAGGGTTTTCAGGAAATTCCCAATATATTTCAAATTGTCAAGAAAAGGTAATATCTTAAGTCTTTGCTTCTTAGAATTTAACACAAAAATCTCTGAAAGAACCATCCATTAAAATATTGATTTATAGCAGAAAGTATACCCCTTCCTCAAGCAATATGTTTGAATTATCCACAAAAATCCCCATGGATATATTGAAGATATATTCACAATGTATAGGTTATGTTTAATGTTTGAAATTCCTTGCCACTGGAAGGAGAGTTTCCCCCCAAACCAAGCTTTTTGCATGATTTATTTTAAAACTATAGATAAGCCAGGTAAGGTTGGGTTCCAGTTTCAAAATCACTTTCCTGCAAGCACAGGGTAGGGCGTAGTAGAAAGAATTGAAAGGTTTTAAGAGAATGCACCCAAACTCACTGCCTGGCTGTAAGAGGGGAGGCATCTGGAGCCAGGCATCTATAGTAAGAGTTGGAATGAGTAATAAGGAAAACAGGAGTGAGAAGATTTCTAAGACACTTTTATATCTATTTCACATTTTTTTCCAAGGGCTCACACACATACAGTTATATTCCGTACAGGGAAACTGAGATTCAGATGCATTGCCCTGGGACTTTGGACCACTTGGTCCAATTGAAACTTTGACTCTCTTGCGTTTTCAGATAATAATTGCCAACAAAATAATCATCATCAATGAAGTACAGGCTAGTTATTGTAAGACCACTATTGCCTGGAAATCAGTGTTAATAAAACCTTTCTAACTAATATTCCCATTTTTGGTAAACACAAAAATCTTACACACAAAACCTCTGGACATTCAAAATCCTTTCTAACACACCCACCTTTCAAAGAGTACTTGAAAATATCACCACCTTACATCTTAGAGCATTACTTTTTCCAGTGCATATTATAGAAATGATCAATGATTATAGTTTCTCTTTAAAATATAAAATTACATTTAACATTAACTATTTTCCATAATGTAACCTTCTGTCCCCCAGGAACTTCTACTATCTCTCTAGGAGATATTCTTTACCCTTAGCCACAGCTCAGGGTGCACTGACTGCAATTTGACCAAGTCAATGGAGAGATGGAAAGTGTTGCCACATTAAAATGTATTCTTAAAACTCCAGAACCTATTTATTCCATTTCAGTTGCTCAGACTGTGATATTATGGTCAAAGAAGTAAGTGTATGTGTGAATTACTATCTTACTTTGCATTGTTATCTGAGTATACATTGGACTATTAGTTTTTCAGTTGACACAATTAAAAACATTGAGTAAATACTCAGATATGTATGGTGATAAATGCTACCCTTGGAGCATAAATTAAACTGAAAAATGAAAAATGTTTGACATGTTGTATTTCAAATTTCAGCGGTAATGTTCAAAGCAAGACACATATCCCCTACCTAAAAGGAATACCTTGTGCCAGCTGCCCTGATCACTGTGACAATGGACTATGCAGTAAGTTTCAAGTCATTAATTTATTAGTATAATTAAATGATCTGATATTTATTTTTAAAAATTAGGAAATCTTCTGAATGGAGCCAACTTAGGCAATGCCTTCATGCAAAAGAAAACAATAAAATTACTTAACAAAGTGTGCTTAAGCAAAAATCTTTAGCCATTCAGTAGTATGTATATATATATTTTGCAACGAAAGTCTGTTGCCATGTGTAACCTAAAGAAGCATCTACCATCAATGTATATTTGTGACTATGTTGAACCCATTACATATTCGTATATATAAAGATGTTTCTGTAAAAATAATTTATTATAATTAAATGTGAATTTTCTTTTTTCTTTTTTATAATCCTCACTGGAGAATAGTTTTTTCATTGCTTTTCAGAGAGAGTGGAAGGGGGGAAGGGAGAGAGAGAGAGAGAGGGAGAAACATTGAAGTGAGAGATACACATCGATTGGTTGCCTGCCACATGGGGCTGGGGATCGAGCCTGCAACCAAGGTATGTGCCCTTGACCGGAATCCAACCTGAGACCCTTCAGTCTGCAGGCCAATGCTCTAACCACTGAGCAACCAAGTAGGGCTGAATTTTCTTTTCATCAAAGTTAATGTTTTTATAGGAAAGGTGGCACTTTAAAAAGAGAATATATACAAATGTAAAGGTGTGAGACCAAAGAATATAGCTCAGTCTGGACAGGCATATCCGATATAATCACATATGTTAGCAAAATATTCAACAAACTAAATTCCTCATTTTCCTCATAGTATAGTTAGAATCATCAAGTTTAATTTAATAATCATTTGCACTTTTGTTTGCTAGTAAGTTTTATGTACTTTTAAAATATTGATCAAATCTGTATATGGCATTATTAGCTAACAGAAACCTCAAAACTATTTTAGCAAAAAGGATTGAAATTAATATCATGTAATATCTCATTTCCAGTGTTGTTATGTTTGAGGTACAAAGAGCTGGTATTTTTTTAGTTGGGATGTATTATTAGCATTCTTATGAACAATACCGTTGACCCATTAACTAAAATTTTTATTTCTCAAATACATTCATCTGACTGAACTGTAGCATTGTTTTTGAGTGAACTCTATAGCCACAATTCAGAATACTGATAATATAAAAGCTGTAAATTAACTAAAGAATGAAATGCTTATACCTCTGCTGAATTCTCTTTGTTAAGGAGTTTGGAATTTATCCTATTAGTAATGAGTAGCCAACTGAAAGATTTTAGGCAGAAGAGCGATGAGCTCAGAACTGTGTTTTATAAAGAGCTCCTGTCAGTAGTATGAATAAACAATTGGGTAGAGTCCAGCTGACAGACTATTGAAAAACTTGGGTTCAAAAACAAATGGATGTCTTTACTGCGTTAGGGCAAAATGAATGAAGAGAAATGGACAGCTTATGAGAGACAGGGAGAAGTAGAATACTCAGTGTTTATTGCCTGTTCTTGTTAAGTTGATAAAAAGTAGAGGAGAATGAGTTCTGGCAGATTCCTAGTTCCTGATTTGAATCACTTAGTGGGGATTGCCATTCCTCTGAGATTGAGTTGGGAGTTGGGGAAGGATACCAAAGAAATGCCACGCTTGGAGGTAGGATGATGAATTCAGTTTGAGATTTGTTGAATTTGTGGCCACTGAGGGACATCCAAGTGGAAATGTCCAATAATAATAGCAAAATTCTGTTTTTACATTTTCACAGTCACATCTTCTCATAATGACTTCTTACTCCTGAAAGAAAGGCTGGTGGCCTTAGAGTCTGGTGGCAACAGCATCTAATACAACTTTCTGCGATGATGGAAATGTTCAATATTTGCACTGTCCTGTAAAGTAGTCCTTAGACACACTGACTGTTTAGCTCTTGGAATGTAACTAGTATCAATGAGGACCTGAAATTTCAAAGTTATTTAATTAATATTTAAATTAACCACATGGCTAGTGGCTCTACTATTCGATAGTGCAGTTCCAGAGAGATTTATTTAAATTTATTTTACCCTGTTTTCTGAGGGAGGAGTCAGTCAATTATTTTAGAGACATTTGGAAAAGCCCAAATTTTAAAAGAAATTACACCTTAATCAGTGAATTTAACTAAGGGACTACATGTGTCCCTCAAGATATGAAAGGGCCATCAGAGTGTAATGAATGATGTCAACTTGTTTGCTCTAGCCTCTCCTCCTCACTTACATGGAATTTACTGTTTGTGCTACTGACTGCCGTGGAGGAAAATCATAATGAAGTGACTGACTTATTTGTTTTTATTCCAGCCAATACTTGCGATTATGAAGATGCTTATTCAAACTGTAAAGATTTGAAGAATCAACTGGGCTGTGAAAATCCTCTCGTCAAGAACAGTTGCAAGGCTTCCTGCAACTGTGAAAAAAAAATTTATTAAATGCCCAATACAGACTGTTCATGCCTAAGTGGAGGAGAGTCACATCTACTTACACTTGACATTTATTAGCAAAGAAATCATAGGCATGTTAGCTATAAATTTGATTCCAAATAGTATTATCTTTTTCTCCTGGATCTGCTTTTTACTTTACAGAAATGTCTTTCATCCAGAGAAGTGTTCACCTATGTGGTCTTTAATTCCTCCTCTGCCATTCACCTTTCTTCTTACTCATCTAACTTCCATCCTTTTAATTAAATTAGATTTTTTTTTTTCTTCCTAAGGAAACCCCAACCTTCATTCTGCCCAAATCAGTGAAGACTTCTGATTCTTCATCTGCATAAATTGCGCAGTAGAATATGACCACACTTTCCTTTTAAACCTCTCTTCTCTTAGACAAATCTTCCTTAATGAAGAATCCTATATAATATACATAAATACTCTTTCCTCCGGGAAGTTCCCTCCCTTTTGAGTCTGGGCTGAACTTAGTGACTCGTTTCCAAAGAGTAAAGTATGGCAAAGGAATGACAGTAATTTTACAGTAAAGACATCTGGCAAATGCCAACTTAACCAAGCAATCAGTCAGCATCTTCTGCAGTAAGTCATGTGGACTCATGTACCCTTCATCTGATGTGACTAGAAGGGCATTTCACTTCTGTATTCTTTCTAAAAATTTGTAACCCAAATCTCATCATGAGGTAAAACATTAGGCAAATTTAAATGGAGGGACTTTCTACAAAATACTCCTGGACCAGGACTCCTCCAAACTGTTAAAATCATGAGCAATAAAGAAAATAAAAAAAAAAGAAAAGGGAAATTCGGGGTAACTATTACAGACCAGAGGAAACTAAGAAAACACAAGAACTAAATACAATGTGGTAGTATTTTGAGATAAGATCCTGGAACAGAAAAAAGGTCATTAATGGAAAAACTGATGAAATTTGAAGTCTGTAGTGTTTTTAATAGTAATGTTAATTTCTTAGTCTTTCTGAATGTACCAGGGTAGTGTAAAATGATATCATTACAAGAACCTGAAACTGGATTCAGAGTATATGGAAAGTCTCTCTACTATCTTAGCAACATTTCTGTAAATTTAAAAAGACTCCAAAATAAAAAGTGCATTATTAAAAATAAAAAAGATCTATTTTTCTTGGCTCCTCGACACTTCATACTGTTCTCTAGATTATCTGGTTATTTTTTCTCAAACTCCCCTGCCCAACCCCCACCCCAGTTTGAATTCCTCTATTCAACTGCTAAATGTTCGTGATTTTTGTCTTTTTCAGCAACTCTCAGATAATACCAGTGATTGGATTGTCAAATCTAACTCACTTGCTTATCCAGTGTCAAGCATCACTAATCATTTCAAGGACATCAGTCATGAGGCAAAGGCAAAAGAGAGGCAGGTCCAAGGCTGCCAATGCAGCTCCCCAAGTGTGTCTTTGCAACACAGTTCTTAATCTCAACAGTGACAGCCTTCCTAATTAGTCTACTTTTAAAACCTTTCCATAGACCTCTCAAATACTGAGGAAAATATTTATGCTCAAACTGGTAGGCTAGAAGCTAAGTCATTTTTTCTATATTTTCCTGTCTAATCTCACTTCATTCCATTCTCCCTTACTTTTTATGTTCCAAATTCAATGATCATATTAAATTCTTTCAAGCCCCTCAAGATTTTTCCTAGCTCAGGGCATTTGTGTTTGCTATTAGCTCTGTCTGGAAGAATCATCCCTCTATTATATGCTAGACTAGCTCCTTCACATTAAATGTCATTCCATTTGAGTAAATAATCTGAAGGGTGTCCCCTCATTCCCTCTCATAATTCCCTGTACTTCCTTTCATAATAAGCATCATAATGTGTAATAATTGATTCCTGCATTCAACAAATAGTTATTGGAAATAATTACTGTTCAGGTTTTTATTTAAGTCCTTTGAAAATAGTAATTAACAGGGCAGACCAAGTTCCAAACTTCATGGAGTTCACACTCTAATAGGGCAGGGACAAAGAAAACTATGTATTTGCAAATAAATCCTAATATAATATAGGAAGGGATAAGTGCTATAAACTAAAATGGACAAGAGAATGCAGAATGAGAATGGACTGGGATGGGAAAATATTAATTTAAATAAGATAGGCAAATGTTCTCTGAGGTGATGACAATGGATTACAGACACAATGGAAGTGAGGCAGCAACCATTAACAAAGAATGGTGAGAAACTTTCAAGGCAAAGAGAATGGTGAGCACAAAATTGTTGAGGTAGCAATAAACTTGGTATATTTAAGGAAAGGCAAGACGCCCAAAATGGCTGGAGCACAGGGAACGAAGTAAAGATAATTTTAAAAAGGGGTCAGAGAGTTAGGCACAAACTTAGTCACATGGTGCCCTCTAGGGCAGGTAAAGAATTGTTATAAGTAAATAATGAGATATAAATTGTAAGAGGAAAAAAATGAAGCAAAAAACTAGTTAAGACTATTGACTAGAAGGGAGATTAAGTTAAATTACACTGGATCATAAATGTGTGTGTGTATATATTGTATATATATATTGTATATATGTATCATGTATATTCTACAATTAATTTCAATATATTTTTGTTTATATCATGATAGAAAACAAGATAACTATTTCCCAACTAAAGTTAGTATTACCTTTTGCCAAAGCCAAAGACATCACAAGACAACTATTGTTCTTCGTGAACATAGATGCAACATATAAAAAGGATTACACACCATGGCAAATAAGGTTGTCCCAGTATAAAAGGTTGTTTTAACAAACATTCAAAATCAATTAAGGTGATATATTAATAAAATAAAGACAAAACCATCAGAAAAGATTCCAAAAATTTCCTTACAAAATTCAGCACCTTTCATGAAAACAATTTTCGGAAAACTAGGAATAGAAGGGAACTTCCTCATGCTAGTAAAGACCATCTAACCAAGTCCTCCGGCTGACATTATACTTACTGATCGGCTGCTTTCTCTTTACATTACTTTTCAGGTGATTACACCACTATAGCACTTTTCAATCTGAAATCCACTCTCAGAAATACTGCGAGGATGTCAGTTTGCACCACCTCGCTCACATTTTTAAATTTACAGTGGATGCAATAAAATAAAATAAATTAAATTAAAGGCATATAGATTAGAAAGGTAGAAACTGTCTTTACTTGCAGATTAAAATGACCTTCCTTGTAGAAAATCCAAATGAACCTATAAAAAAAGCTACTAGAACTAACAAGCAAATTTAGCAAAGTCACAAGATTACAGGGTGGAACGTGGAACTTCTTACAAATAAAGCAACAGGATGGGAATTACATCGGCTTCTCGTCGGAACTCATGCAAGAACCCAGTTTTTCCAGCTCTCAGGCATCTAGAACACTGCTCATTTCAGCCCAGCACGCTGCCAACTTCAGGTCTTTCATGAGTGTTTAGAGGGACCTTCAATGTTCCTATCAGTAATGAAGATGTACTTTCCATGTGCTCTCCAACACGTGTAGGCTCTAAACCTACAAGCTTTTTTTTTTTTATTCTGGATTTGCCTTCCATACCAAATTCAACTCTGCTTTTATTTTCATCTCTTCACATCCCATCCTTTTGTTCTATTTCTACTACTCTAAAATCGATATGGAAGATTGCCACCACATTCTTATTTTTCCCATCACCAACCTCTCAGCTCCACAAATCACCCTGCACAGTGCTATCAGGCAGTTTTCATGAAATAATATTTGACTATGTCATTTCCTAACTGTCTAAACACCAGTGAAATTACTTTTCCTTTTTATACAAGGAAGCAAATCTCCTTACACTTCTGTACAAAGCTTCCCCAACATTTTCTACAGCCTAACATTCTGACTTAAATACGCCGTTGTGATACATTGATTTGTCTGTTTCTGCTTTTCATGCCAGGTATTCAAAACCTGCCTTCCTTTCTGACCAAGTCATATACATTTTTCAGATAGGTTCAAATGTAACTCTACCATGTAGGTTTTACCCGGATAACACCAACTCACAGAACTCGCAATTGCTGTATGTATTTCTTGTTTCAACTACTTAGCAATAAACTGCTTTACCTGGTAATGTTCATATGTATTTATCTTTCCCGCAGGACTGTACATCTTAGAGGAAAGAGATGACATGTCCTTTTCTCTGCATTCCCTAAGAATCTAAGCCAGGCTAATATTTAGTCACTGAATTAATATTTACAAACTGCCACCTATCTAACTAGTATTGTGCTAAGCTTTGGAGCTATAGCAGAAATCAAGATAGACACAATTTCTCAAATACAGGGAGTGGGCAAAAGTAAGTTTACAGTTGTTCGTATGGAAAAGAATATAATAATTAATAAATAATACAAGAATAAACTGTTTTGTGTACTCACAACTGTAAACCTACTTTTGTCCACCCTTGTACATGTTCACTGACAATATCTATCACTACAATACTCAAGCCGCTCTCATTCTGACATTATTCCTGAGAACAAGTAATAACTTTGGAGGTATGGTGGCTCCAAGAATAAAAAATAGGAGTTCCACAATAAATTATAGTGTATCGTAGGATACCAATGAATTGTTTTGCACTAGAAAAAGTACAAATGACAAGTGTACCAAACAATTCTGTTCCTAAAAGGTGAGCAGCAATTTTGAGGACATATGTATCTGAAACGTTAAATTAATAATCTAAGCAAGATATGGTCAAAACATATAGACGTGAGAAAGAGAGATCTGGGGATGAATTTCATAAACATTTAGAAAAGCCAACTCTCAAGAGTTAACTTCGATTTGCCATAAGAGCAAAGCAATATAGGATGACTTGTAAATTCCAGGATTTTTTAGTCAGTTGTAAAAGAATGTCTGTGCCTTTGTCACTTGGGATTTTAACACTGCAAAGGGGAACTGGCGCTCAGCACCACAAAGCAAGGCCATCTTAGTTACAGTTGTGCCGTCCTGAGCCTCAACGTGTTGGAGACCAATGTCAAGCCTCTTTGCATGGGACAGAGAGAGCTCGCAAAACCCAACACATGCAGGGGTGGGGAACGTCCCGCCTGCGGGTGGAAATCCTTTGGTCCGGCCCTGCCAAGGCCTCACCGAAGAGCAGCAGTTCCAGCCATCACACGAGGGGCGAGTTAATTAAAGGTTTGACCAAATACAGCAGGCTGATTTTTAAGTTGATAATTTTGTATGACCCCTGAATGATGCTACAAATATCCAAACAGCCCTTGGCAGAAAAAAGGTTCCCCACCGCTGCTACATGAACTCATTCCTTTAAGGCTTCAAAACAACTAAGCATAGAAGAAAAGGCATCTGTGGTTGGCCTGCCCTCTGAAGGGAGGCAGGACGTCCCCCCCCACACCCTGTCTGCACACCTGCGGAGCTTGCAGCCAGCAGCCTGGGATCAAGGATTCTGGGCGTTTCCCTAAGGCTTGTTCCTGTTGCTCGCCTGGACCTTGCTGACCACAAAACGGCCGTGGGAAGGATACAGCTGGACAAGGCCACGAAGCGTTCACGAGCAAACCTGCAAGACGCCAGCTTCCTCCTGTAGCCCTGAGCTCACTGTTTGCACCACGCTGGGCCCGGGCTGACAACTTAAGCAGCTGTCAACTTCTCCCATCTGCTCTTTAAGCCCTGACCCGAGTTCACTCCGCAGATCTTGTCCACAAAGGGTCACCTCCCGCTCAGCCGCCCCCTGGACACTGACTGACCTCCCTGGTCACGGCAATAAGAGAAAAGCGGAGCTATGCGTTTGACCAGGGGGAACGCCCAGGATTTTCTCCAGCTCCGCCCTCCAGGGGGAGGGCAAGGTCTCGGTTTGCGCGGCCGCGCTGCAGGCACAAAGCCCTG